AAGGCCATCCTCCACTACATGTACAGCTGGAGCCATGGGTCCCTCCAAGTGTGTCCCCAGGCTGGCGGTTTAGAATCATGTGGATTTTTACTCATTAAAGATACAACAAACACTTGAGTTCATCACCTATTCCAAACTTTTCCTAAATGCATTAGTTGTGTTCTATATTTACATTAACTGATAGAAGGCCTTGTGCCAACTAGCATGTCTCATAGCATCCACAAAGCTTCCTGCATTCAAAGATACATATATCAAATTTTACACAATAATAAACAACTAGAATAAACCTGATTTATTTTGTTTTATTTAGTTTTGTTTCTCAGACAAAGTCTCACTCCATATCTGAGACTGAGGTAAAACTGTGTAGTCTAGACTAGCTAGCTTTGAAGTCAGAGCAAGCCCCTAACTTTGACTTCTGAAGAAGGGGATTTTAAACAATAAAACAAAACAAAACAAACAAACAAACAAACAAAAAACATCTCCAACAACAAAAATTTAAAAACATGATTTTTTAATATGACAGTTAAATCCATAATATTCAAATATATTTTTAATATAACATTTTTGCCAAACTAGCTTATGTTTGTGAATCTCATTTAAAATTTTTAAATAAAAATTGTTTGAATATAAAAGTGAATCTATAAAAAATTATGTGATGTACTGGCCACTATTTGAAACTGAGCAATCTAAAGTGCATGCTTACTCAGTTCTGTTCTTTCCAAGGCTGGATTGTTTTTTAATAGTGTAATATTCTAGAGATAGATTTAAAAATTAACAAGATGCAAGAGTCCAGAAAAGTTAATAAAAACTAGCTCAATCCTGATGAGGTTGGCTGATATAGAATTCAAGAAGAATAAGTCTATCTGTAAGTATTTCTTCACAGTAAATCTATAATGGAATTTAAATGAAACACACCATTATGAGAGAATAATTCTTACATAGCATAGTGCTATAATGCATTTGAATGTAATGTTCATATATTTATTAATCCAATCAATAAATGTGTATTTTATAGATTTAATTTGCTGGAACTGTAATATGATAGTTCCTTTATTGGCTATTAAGGAGAATTTGTAATGTATTGGGTGTTCTTAAGGCATCTGGGTAAATTAGGGTTTATACATTAAAAGAATACTTAAAATAATTTGTAAAATAGGTCAGACTAAAGATAAGTAAATTTTAAACTGTAGGGATAATAAACACTTACAAATGATAAATTAAAAATAATTGATTTTGAATAGATGTGTTCTCAAGTTTGTAGATTATATATCACTTTCTACAACTCAATTTATTTTTCCTCAATTGAAGATAAACCTCTAAACACAACACTGATACCATCCCTAAATATGTAGTGATGTAACCCATCCATCAAAATGTATTAACTATGTAAATTCATCTTTGAAGAAAATAAATTTATTACTGTATCACTACAATTGGGCTTATGTCACTTATTAAAGAATAAAAGTTTTGTTATTTGAAGATAAATTAGTAATCACTTAAAAACTCCTTGCACTATTTATTCTAAATATAAAATAATTATCTGTGAAAACCTTTGAATGGGATAGAATATTTGTGAGAAAGTGAATACAAATGTTCTTAATGGCTCATCAAATATTCTTGAAAAGGATATAAAAGCCTTAAAACATAATTGTCAATTATATTTGAAGAGCATTGTGAGGGGTTATGTTTGCCATTTGATACCATTAAGAAAGCCATGAACTAGTTCTAGCTAAACCTTTCAGGTACTGATTGAATGGAAAGCTTATTAGTACTCAGATTAAATTTCAACTTCAGAGACTCAATTCTTTTTTATAAGACAAAATAAATATTGTTATGCTTTTATTATTTAACCAATTAAAATCAGCAGTTAAAAAACAATCATATAAAAACAGAAAATAGTGTTTCTCTCTTTTGCCCTCAATGGCAATTTATAAATTTAAATGTAGAAATCATAAAATGATATAATATGCATAATGATATAATGACATTTTTCCAGAATAATACTCCAAAGTGTCTAAAAGAAAGTCACAAAGTAGTTACTAAATTAATACACTAACTGTTAAGATGTCATCCTTCTTCATTTTATTAAACTTTGAATATACAAAAGATACTATAAATTACAATATTTAGTCTTTTCTACATTTTTATTATTATTGTTATATGGGAATACTTTTTATTTCATTTGAGAATGGGGATTATTAAACTGATAAATATAAATTCACTAAGAATCAGCATTCTCTTTAATTATCAGCAAGAAGGCAGCCAGTTAAAAGCTTCATTTTCTAAAAGTGTCTGTACATCCTTACAAATACAAAATCCAAGGTAAGTATATTGTCAATAAAGCAGCAACCCTGATGCCTCAATAAGTGTGTTATTTTACTTTCTAAAAATGGAATAAAAGTAAAACACAGATGGCACTGTTACACCCTAGACAAAGTATATTTCATAATCACATTAAAATAGTTGAGTCAACATTTGTTCTTAAGAAGTTATAACACTATCTTCAGAATAAAAAACCTCAAGATATGGGAATCTTTTCAGTGGATGAATTGTGGTATTTTTGCAACAATGTTTGCCTTTAACTTATTTCAGTTTTATCTTGGCATGTCTTTAGAAGTATCCTCTCTTGTTTGTTATTCATGTAAAAAATGAGAAAACTAAATTAAAGCTGGTGGGAACAAGTCTTATTAGGGCAGTATAAGTGAAGTAGAAGTAAAGTGGAGATGCAGGAGAAAGTCGACCAACAACCAAGCTTCCCTGTGAACTTCATCTTCAGATGGGAAGGAAGACAGCAGATAGAGTCTTCGAAAACGTCATCACTGATCCTAAATCCTGAACATAAATACAAACGCATATGGGCTTTTCTTTTATAAAAAAAAATGGTATATGTTAATCTTGTCGCTTACTGTTATCATAGTCTCATTTATGATGGAAATATTTTGATACTAAAGTCAATTTTTTATATTAATAAAAATGTTTGAATCATACTCTAACCAGTATCTTCTCATTTGAGAAATCACAGGAACATAATTTTTAACAGTAAGAAATAAAAGTTATAAAGTCCTCAACTATGTATCTTCTTGCTCTTGTAGAACACACCTATGAAGAACTATTTGGGGAAGCAATTGTATTGCACTTAATAATATACCAATCAAGTAACACAGTTAATTGTAAGGGTAACATGTGCATGTTTATAAAATATAAGTCTGAACACCTTGCTTTAATATAAATACTTCTTTCAACTTAGATTTGATTTATTTCGCTGTAGTACACCAATAATTTTCTTGAAAACAATCAACAGGTTATTAATTTATAAACCATACATTTATACAATAATGTTGGCTTTCTTAAAACAAAATAGCCTATGAGAGGATGAAATGATATTTGATCTGGTTAAAAGTAAATAAAATTGATCCTTAATTGATATCCTGTATATTTCACGGCAATATTATGACTTAGACAATATTTCACATAAGTACATTTTCCATCAATCCAAAATCGAATACAGATGCACAAATCCACATAGAGACATAATGAGCATGTTTTTTTACAACAAACTCCAGAGAATAAAATGCAAAAGAACTGGCAAATTGAAATGGGTTAATGACTTTCTCTTGTGGGGTAAAAACTACCATTTGCTTCAAACTAAGAAAAGTACTATAACTTTGCAGTTTTCCGACCAAAAGTAGCAATTATTCTTATTTATTCAATATTTTATCAGTGAGCCTTACAAGCAGAAAAGATATTGATTCAGAGGTCCACGTCAATAAATGTAAGCACTAAAATTATTTCCACAGATACTGTAAAGATAATTTCCTAAACAAAATGCTATTAGCAACTGACATGCTTTTATGATGGTGTCTTATTAATTTGTTGAGTTTTGTGCTTCACAATCTGTAAATTCTCAGCTTTTTCAATTATAACCAGAATATAACAAAATGAAGACAGTAATAATAATTAAAAAAAATTTAGACCATGCAGATATATTCTTCTAATTGAGTTAAATCTGATAGTGGAAGAAATCGACTGATTGCTCAATCTACATATCTACCAAACTTTGAATAAAAATAAAAGAAGTTTATTTTGCATATGTCTCCATAATTTTCTCCCTTCCCCATTTTTTTTCCAGTTGTTTTCTTAGATGTAAACATATCTGCACCTGGGTTTCATTTAAAAGCCTGCCTTTGAGTAATCGCCTCTTCCTCCTCCAAATTTACAAATCAGTTTAACACTAAACCAGAGCGTTTTTATTTTCAAAATTGAGAAGATAGTGTAAGGATGTCCACAAAAACATGCTCTCAAGGAGTCAAAATTACTTTTTTAGTTCAAGAGGTGCTCCATAGTTCTTCAGTTGCCCTCTGTATAGGAAGGTTTGTGACCTCAGCAAAACACATGGTATAAAGCATTGCTGCAAGTGCCACTTCCATATTTCATTAGGACTACCCACCCCTTCCTCTAACTCTCTACCTTCTCAACCACTGCCTCTCCTCCAGGTTCATTTTATGATTTTTTTAACCATTGTTCAACATTTCAATAAAATCACATTAAACATTTAAATGAATGCACATTCAATCTCTAAATGATATTAAGCATACTCATGAATGTGAATATTAAGAAGTTATAGATCTTAGAACCATCTAAAAAAATGCATGTCTTCTGTAGGTCGGAATGGAAGTATCATCACAAGATAGGTCAAACACAGACTATAAGGTGGCTGATATCACATAGATATTCAGTCCTTACCTGGTTAACTGCATGATGACAAACAAATCAAAAGAAAAAGTCCCCAGATTCTGAATCATCTGTCTCCACACTGCTGTGACAGCTTTACAGCTCGGGGGTTTTCTTCCTTGCTTCCATACATTTGTCTGGCTATCCTTTGCAAGGGATGCTAGGGTTAATCTGTAACCCAGGTCACCTCCTCCTCTTTTCCAACAGCTGTTTGACAGCTCACACAGCAGAGAAAGTGCATTTTTTTCCCCCTTTCAAGTAGAACCTACCCTGAATCTCCACACCAAGGCTCTCTTTACAAGGAGGTCCCTGCTCTGCTGGAGAACTGATCACATTCTGGACCTAAAGGAAAGTACAGGGCTTTCAGCTTCAACTCTTAGGGACTAGGAGAACAGCCATCAAAGACTTCAACTCTCTTCTCCTGTTTGGCTACAGACGCTGCAGAAACCCGCAGCCCAGAAGCGCCACCCCTTCCATGGTGGTCACCACCGAAGCAGAGTGCCCAGAAATGGGTCTTCTTCTCTAAACCCCACCTCCGGGAAAAGGGGGTGAGGAAAATAAAAAGAGAACTTTACAGTGGCTTTAATGTAAGCTTGTAGCTCCTGAGCCTAGGACTGCGGATAACATAGCATTCCAAGCCCTGGCTCCAAGTTGAAACCCAACTCACTTCACCCTGCTGCCCTCCGGATTCTGTGAGTTAGTGAAGGAAGGAAATGCATGAGTGATGATTAGCAATACTTAAACACTGATCTAAAAGAAGTCCTTCAGCTATCCTAAGCTCTACTAAACAGGCAGATAACAACAACGATCGGGGCTTTTAAAAACAAGCATCCTGGGATGCATCGCGCGCTGTGCTTAGATTCAGCTCGTGAAAATAATAAAGAAATTGCAACACAGAACAGTGTTAAGAGATTTACAGCAAAGCAAGTCTTTCTTCCCCACAGAAGAGGTTTGGGAGCGCAGGAAAACTAAACATTCGACGTTGTGGAAGGTTGAAAAACCCTTGTGAACCTCACTCTCCTGGGTTGCAAATGTCCACCGCGAGCCGCAGGGCTGAGAGCGTAGCCTGCGCCAGCGGGTCGGGGACTCCATCCCCACCCTCGCGCTCCCGCACCAGCATTGAGCCTTGGACCAGCCAGGCTACTAGGCGCTTTGCCCTCCACGTCCCCAGAACCCAGGCGGCTTAAATATAGCCTAGGGCCACCGAGAAATCTCCAGACACACTCGCCTGTTGCTAGCCCTCTGGTTAAAGCATTCTTGGCTGCCAGAGCCTGTCTCTCTTGTCAATGTCCCTCACAGAAGGCTGAGCTCCGGGTTCTAACACAGCAAAATGCACTTACCTAGACAGCGAACGTCTGTGCCTCACTGTGTCACACTGATTAAGCAGAAAAAGGTCTGACTGCACTGAAAGTTTTCTCCTTTCTCTCTCTCTCTCCCTCCACCCTTGCGCAACAGCAGTAGTCCTCCAGAGAGGGTATTTGAATTGGCGAATTACACCAAAGCCTCTTTTCTTCAAATGAAGTCACGGACGCTAATAGCCCTGGCTTGTCAGGCAGGACGGATCGAACTGGCAAAGACAGCAGGTAGACTAGCGCTTGGTGAGGGACGCCAAGAGGTGGGGATCACTGTGTGAGCCCCAATTCCTCTCCCACTCAGTGGGAAGCAAGGGGGAAAGCCCTGGAATCTGAGTAGGGGGAGGGGGATAGTGCGATGCTGCAGCTGGAGTACTTTTATGTCTGGAAGCTTTAAAGGCTTTTGAATTAAAAAGAAAGAAATCAGTGCCTAGACTGTCGCGTCAGCCATCAATGACTGGAACAGTTCTTTCCCAGAAATTAAAAAAGAACCCTCCCAAAAAATATCAAAATAACTTAAGAAGGAGAGACTTGAACAATAGATCCTCACCTCCATCCACCCCAATAAAGGGAGATTGGGCAAAAAATTGTGCTTTACAGATTATGGACGTGTCCATGTTTCTGATTGATAATTACCAAACTCTTGGCCAAATGTGAAGCAAAAACCAGCATTAAGTGCTCCTCAACGCAACTCGGTGGAATGAGCAGGCTCATCATTTAAAGCCCATAGAAATGTTCATAAAAGCACAACACAGGGATCATATTAACATACTTATTAAAAACTGAGGGCAGGGGTGGGCAAGTGTGAAGAGTGAGGCAATTACATTTTTCATGTAAAGTCCCTCCCTGAATTTCAATGTATTAGAACCCAGATAATCAGTGGCTTCTGATAGCTCTCTTCATCTTAAGGGAGACCTCCCTGCCCAATTAACTGTCCCCAGTATAATTCACAAAACCTAAATGCATTTCAAAATGCTACCTAGAAAGGAACCACGATGACCAAAATAATGTGCCCAGGTACATTCTGGATATTGTATAAAGAACGATGCTCTCTAACTCGGACTCCTTTCCTTGCCATATAGTGACAAGTTAGCTTTAGGATCCTACTAAATCAGTAGATACACTTAACCAAAGTCCTCCCTCAACCATTCAGTTGTTTAGGATGAGATGAACAACACATGCTGACCTGGACCACCTTCTGAAGATCAGAGAGACTAGTGAACTTTCTCAAACCGATAATAGCCAGCTCTCCTTCAGAAATAGTCAGCTCTCCTTCAGGAATTTTCATAGACCAATAGAAAAAAAATTACCCCATCAAATGCTACAATGGTGTTTTCCAAGAGGGATATGTTCTGGGGAGGTGATAGCCACATTGTCTGACAGAAACTTATAATATAGTTCAGGATTTCTTTACTTTTCTTTTTAGAAGGAAGTATTGGGGCAAGTTATCTCACGGGGTACATCTTACTAGTTCCAGCATGTATTAATGGTCATCCACAAAGGTATTTGCAATAGGAAAGTAACTGTACAAATACAGGCACACACACACACACACACACATACACACACACAGAGAGAGAGAGAGAGAGAGAGAGAGAGAGAGAGAGAGAGAGAGAGAG